AGGCTAATTTTTTTTTGCAAACCATTTTAAAAGTAAAGTATATCGCCACATACTTTATTTATTTTTACAATATATCAGCTAGTTGTATATTTTAATTAAATATAATACAGCAGATTTCTGGCAATAAGTTCTTTTTATTAATGTAATCTCAAGATTTCGGGCATCCCTGCCCTTCTACAGGAGTATATGAAAAGTATAATAATAAAACACAGTTAGATAGCTAACTATGTAACCTGTTGTATTATTTTAATCTATATTTAGGAGATTTAAATCAAGTAAATTGAAACATGAAATTTATCTCTAGTTGTTACAAGACAACTAATTCAAATAAATTAATAGTGTGTGACATTTCGGTAAACAGCATTGTTACCATTTTCAGACAAAAGAATAAATAATAAAGGGAATAAATAAAAGAATAATGAATAAACATTTATTCTTTTTTTCCGATGATGGTAACAATGCTGTTACCGAAACGTCACACACTATTAATTTATTTGTATTAGGTCTTATTTTCTTGTAGTTCTAATCTATAATCCAAATAATGTGCTTCATAATTTATCTAGTTGCATATTTATTAAAATAAAAACTTCTAGCTCTGTTTTTTTTTTTTGCATTCAGGATGTCCCACACACACGCCGACCGTGCGGCCCACGCGTCGCAACGAGCTCCGTGATATTCGCCTCTGGCGAGCTGTAATGTTTCCTTAAACATGTCGAATTCGACATCGCCGGGGAGCCCAGGATCCGCTGGACAAAAGCCTGGAAGGCCCAGCATCCCTACCTCCAACCGGTAGCGAAAATTCGGCCAAAAACGAATTTCATAGAGAAATCTATGGAGAAAAATCTAATTCTCGCGAATATGTAAATCCGCCGGCTGACGGCGGAAATGGTAAATCTGGCCGCTGCGCGCGTCGACGTCACGTCCGGCATGGCGGCTGCTTCGTCATCTAATGGCGCTGCCCTTACCATCAGGAACTGGGCAGATTGTGACGAGGTCATGAACCCCGGGGACAGATGACGACTTTACCGTCGTGAAGAACAAGAAGCGGCGCCGCGTATCGAATTCGCCTACAGCGGCTGCACCCATCCTCCAACATCGGAAGTGCAAGGACCAATTGCCGTCTGCAATCATCGGCGGGATCGGTGCCGCGGGCCCAAGAATTGAGAACGACCAGGGCCCACATCGCAGAAGCCCGGACGCGGCAGGCATCCTCGTCTGAGGAACACTGCGTATACCTGGAGCATGGCCCAGAACTACAGCCCTTCCCACTAATCTGAGGGCACTGGACAGAATGCTTGGAGGAACCGCCGGTGTTATCCCAGATCTCCAAGGTGAATGGCCACCAACTTCTGGGATTGGCTAACAGAGGCCTGGCCGAGCGCCTCATAAACGAGGGCTTGAGGTTGAGGGCACTCTCCTCAGGGTTTTTTCCTTTCCGCAAAAGAGCGGAGAGGATAACGGTGGGAACCTCCCCTTCTTCGTGGAGGACTCAGCCATCATCAACGCCCTAAAGCCCTATAGGGCGCATAACATCCATCGCGCCCAAAATGATGAAGGACCGGGCCATACATCTACTGCGACGGCCCGCCGTGAGGCGTTCATTGTCCTCCACGATGGAGTGACTTACCGAGAGGCTCCCCCACCCGCCTCGATATTCCGATCAAGGCGAGGCCTGGCCCCGCCTACCTATCATCGGGCATCAAGTGCTCCAGATGTCCATGGACAAGGGCACCGGAGGGCCAACTGCCCCTGCTTGCAGAGCGGGTCAACACCACCAGATCGGCCCCACCAGCTTCCCCTGCCGGCCTCCAACCAACAACCACCCTGGCACCGCCTCAGCGGCCTACGCCCCAGCATTCAGCACGGCGCCTCCCTCGGAGATCTCCGGTGCCTCGCCCGCGCCCCGAGCTGCAATCCACCCAGCAGGCGCACCCCGACCATCACCAACAGCGCCCTCGGCCTCACCTACGGAGGAGACGCCTCCAGCCCCCTCCACCTGTGACCCCTGATCCGTCATCGCAGGCTCCTAGAGATCCCGCATCCCAGGAGATCCTCGGGCCTGCAAACATCACTCAAGACATCGAGATGACTGCCGTGGAGGAGTCCATCCCTTCCTCCGCGTCATCAAATAAGAAGTGCACGAGAATTGACCTCGCAGCCTTCATGAAAGAGAAGTCCCAGCGTGTCCTTCGCTGGAACTGACGCCCTTGGCCTTGGGCGGGAGGAGGTTCTGGACCTCCTCTCCTCAAAGACCAAGGCACATAAGCGTGGTCGCCATCTGACCCTCCGCCAGAGCAATGCTCTTGCCGGCCCTAATAAACCAAATCCTCGACCTAAGGCCCGGAGGAAGTAGCAACATTTATAAGGTCTTGCGACAGGTCATGTCAGAGCTGAGGACCGGTCCAGCCGCAGTGCCCCCTACATCCACACTGCCTGCGCCTCGACCATCTCATCCAACGCCGGCTCACTTCCAACAAGCTGACACCTGCTATGATAACACCCCCGCCGCCCGCCCCGACGGAGATGGAGGAGGACGTTCCGATGACGGAAGAAGAGCGCTGTGTACCCCCAATGCCTGCGCCTCGGCTCGCTGAGCCAACACCGCCCACTCCCCAGGGGCAAAAGACGACACCGGCCACGACTACACCTCCGCTTCCCACCACCTGACCCGAGGAGGACGACGACGATCTGATGCCGGAGTTAGATACAATCTTCAATGAATGATCACTGAACCCGGCTTTGAGCCCCTGCTGGAGCCAGGGATTTCCCTGGATGCCGTCATGTTTGCGGTCTTATACCGCGAAGATAGATTGGATCTACTCAAGGATCTCTCACCTGAGCAGGGGAGTACCCTCGCGGGCTTCCTTGACGCTGCTTTCGAGCGAACTCGGAACAGCCATCCCACCATTCGCAGGGGAATTCACAAGCTAAGGATCGCCTTGCCCTCCTGATCAATGTACATAGTTTGCCCTTTGACTCCTCGTGAGTAATTGTTGACCAGCGGTCCAATAAAAATTATTTAATTGTCAAATTGTCACACCACATAATTACCTACACAACCACAAACATGCATACACATACCACATAATTACCTACACAACCACAAACATGCATTACACACCACATAAATTACCTACACAACCACACACACGCGCACGGCCACCTACATCTAAATACACGACACATATTGTTAGTTAGTTTTGTTTCATATTTTTTATTTTTTTTTTACAAGCAAACACAAGCAAAAAGTCAATAAATATTTCAATATTTATCTGTTATATTTCAGTAATCGGTTTCGAACATCTCTCCTCGTGCATATCCTCATAAATAATACACTAAACAGAGTTTTTATTTGTAAAGTTTGAAGCAATCTCCTCCAAAGATAATGAACTATACATAGCCATCTATATACTGAAAATTTCGTTAGTTTTTACTTCGTGTGTCACATTATTGTATTCTTTAAAATTTAGTGTTTATATTTATTTTTTAATTTATTCAATTTTTTCATTCGTAGAATTTTTGTTCCAAATTTTACTTTATATATTCATCATCGCCAATTTCTTTGTTTTAAAACAAGTGCGTTTGTATTATTGAATTTCATCAATTTTCAAATGGTAGATATTTCGGGTTTCGAATTCAATTGTTAATTAATTTTTTGGTTATAATCAGAATTTATTCTCTGTAGAAATTTTCCTTGGGGATCTACTCTGGATGTCCGGGGTTTATCATGTTCGGATCTGCCCGAATGTTATATACTTTGTTTAAAAGGGATATCAAGAGGAACGTGGTGAGTTTCTTTATTGAGCGGTCACAAGCTTTCGGACGTCACCCGTCCATCATCAGGTGTTGACATCAGGTGTTGACATTACCGCTCAATAAAGAAACTCACCACGTTCCTCTTGATCTCCCTTTTACACTTCAAACGTGGCCTAATATTCATCTACCATACTTTGTGTTTAGAGTGTTTTCATTTAACCTTACTGAAATTGAAAAAGGAAAAAGGCATCTCCTTATAGTGCAACTGAAAGTTGCTGATGGCTTGCGCTATCTATCTTACTTGAAATGCTGATTCTAATAAATCAGAATATACCCATTGAATTTGAAGCCATCATCAATGCTGGCGTCACTCGGCTAGTATAAAATATATCTATCATAAAGTCTGGTTTGTCACCAACCAGCAGAGTCCGCTAGTTTGCGTAGACAGTCGGCGACAGATGGCGCTTAAATTTAGCGTCTATTTTGAAGGAAAAGACGACCTTTATTTTATTGTTGAATATATAAATTAACACAAAAGTCAACAAAGCCTAAAATTGAATATATAACAAACTAATTTACATATTTTAGGAGCTGTAAAATAATTATAATATTTTATATAAATGTGACCCAACTTTGCCCAACTTCTCCAGAATGAATATTAGATGTTAAATATTGCTTTCACCAAATGGTATTCGTTTTACGCGCCGCGCGATCATATCATTAACCTTTTATCGGCAGTCTTGATTATATATATTCCAATGAATATATCATTATTACTATCATTGTCTTCTGCTGGAGTGAATGTTTCACTGTTAGAATCTTGTTCCTGCCTACTAAAAATGATGGTCTGACTTCACTCGTGGTCTGCTTCAGTGAATATTCCCGAAAGAATTTTGTTTCTGACAATCAAACATGATACAGCAATATTGTCATAATCATTTTCTGACTAAAAATAATAATTTTTGCAGTACTTGGTTGGTGGTACTGTGGTTCATGTGAGTAAGCGAAATATAAAGTCGGATTTGGAAAATTTCTCCTAAAATTATAAGATGGACTGAATGAATAAGAAAAGCACATTACACCGACGTCCAAAATTAAATGAATAAACAAAATTTTAAAAATACTTTATTAAAAATGATGAAATTGGGTGCAGTTTTTCTAAAGTAACCCAGCTCTATCTACTTATATATTTGCCTTATTCTGTCTGTTTGTCTGTTTGAAGCTACGGATGGGATTTTTCATAACCATCGGTGGTTCAGTGGTAGAAATGCTCGCTGCCACGCGGGCGGCCGGGTTCGATTCCCGGCCGATGCATTTTTTTTTTTTTACAATTTTTAAAATCCTTTATATATTATACAAGTAATGACAATCCACGGCGCCAATTTATAATTGTGACGATAGTATTTGAATAAAAGCAATTTAATCGGGTAAAAACCCGGGCGTTGCCCGGGTCATTCGTATATCAATAATTGTATAAACGAATGCAAGACAAAATCACCGCGAATGTTTCTTTTTTTTAAGGCAATTTCTTTTTAAGGCAATTATCGTTATTTATCGTCAATTTTTGTTTCGATTTTATTGAAAAAAAAAACGATATGGTGCCTTTAAAAAATGATCTTTATTACTATGCAGTTTTCTATTTAGTCAATATACCTAAGTTAATGTTGCAAAATGTAATTATCTCTATCGATTTAGTAGGTGAAATGCAAAAAAAAAAAAATCGACATGATGAAATCTTTATGAAAATTCACATTTTTATTTTATATTTTCAAGAACACACAGTTTGGGGCGGGACATTTCACAAGAGAGACATCCACGGCGCCAATTTATAATTGTAACGAATAGTATTTTAATTAAAACATTTTTAAAAAACACAGTTTGGAACGGGACGTTTCACAAGAGTGACATCCATGGCGCCAATTTATAATTTAACGAATAGTATTTGAATTAAAACGTTTTTTAAAGTATATGCGCACTCGGGTAAAACCCGGGCGTTGCCCGGGCTCTCGTCTAGTGGATTTATATATAAAACTATTAAAATTATTTTAAATATACACCTAAATATGTGTCAGCATATCTTCAAAATAAAGATCAATATTTGAAGTATTGTTACCGCTAAATTCTATACAACGATCTTTCATGCCGATTAACAGGCTTTGGAGAAGGTCTCGAGGCAATAAATCCTCTAAAAAAACAAACAGATTTTACTTCGAGGAGAGTTATAAGAGGGGGCTTTGTACAATCTTCAATGCTTCTCCCTAAGACATAGACATGTTCTATAGGATTGAGGTCCTCTCACTCTCGAGGCAATCATCAGTGCTGCCCTATGTGAATGAGTATTATCAGCCATAAAAATCAATTAAGGGCTAATGATACTCATATAGGGCTCAAGAATCTCGTTCCTTTATCTTTGAGCAGTCATTGTGACTTCCTAAAACATGTGGAGGGTGTTCGAAATGAAGCCAGTCCAGATCATGAAACTCCTACCCTTAAAATGGTCTCTTTGATGTTTGTGGGATTCAAGTGTTGCTTTTATTTCTATAGAGCATACAGAAAAAAAAGCAGGCGATTTATACTGTCACAACCAATCTTTAACTTTTATAATAGAAGTCGATCACAGCCATTTTGAGGAAAAATCGATTTCACTGTTCCATTATACAAAGGCTTTCTCGAGCAGCATCTTATGTTCATTTCAACTTACCACTATTTTAACTTTCTTCTTTCAGTTAAGTGTGTCAATTTGTTGATGAGGTAACGACTGAAAAGGATATTTAGAGATTTTTATTGAGTTTCTGATTGTATGTATATTTTATGCAGTAGAACTTCAAATATACGAACTCTCTGGAATAAATGAAGGTTCAATCAATTTTTATTGTGAAATGAGAGAGTAAAATGTTTGTACAACATATAATGGTCCATCTACCTAGTAAGTAAATAAAAATACAAAATATTTAGCGAACAAGCAGAATTACTACACATATTTATTTGTTGATAAAGTCAGTTGTGTCTTTTTTAGTCAATTTTAAAATATTCTAAATGACTATAACTTCTATCTTTTGATGTTGTTGAATTATGTCTTACTCATTCTGATTGCGGAACCTATGTTGTTGTAAATAAATATTCAGAGCTTTAACGACTTTACTTAGAGGTTAAAAGAAATAAAATCTCATTTGAGTACACGAAATTCCGGATAGTTGAAGTTTTACTACAATAGGCCAATAGACGGGGCTTACAAAATGTTGAAAATAGCGTTTTTTTTTTTACATTTCGAGTTCAGGATCAAGCTGGGTTCAGGGCAAGGCACACACTACTAGAGGAATTCTTTGATCTGAGGATCAATCGTGTTGTAGAAAAGATATAGCTGGCTCAAACTGATATATTAGTCTTGAATTTTCTCCATTGCCATTACAGATTATATGTTTTGCTGGAAGTCTATCTCACACTTTCAAGAAAATGTCATGTGTGAAAGCATAATTTCCCTTAGTCCCATTCTTTTTTGAAACTTACTTCAACATCTTGAGATGCTTAAAAAAAAAAAACTTACCTTATGAAGATATATTTTACATTGAAAAATAAATATTTTTTTTTTGTAAAATAATTTAAAAATAAAAAATTGAGGAGATCTATCAAACGTGAGGAGAGAGAGGAGTCCGATGAACAGGCTGGACCCAGTAAAGTCCTCACCGGGGAAAAAATAATCCATTTGCACTATTCAATTATAGGCGCCCCTATGAATTATCCAGAGGATAATGAGGCCTGGTCGCGCGGGACTCCAAATCCAATCAACAACTCGTTTTCCCGCTCATTTGCCATTCATTTCAGCTCTGACTTCGTTAGGGGGCCCCGCGGGTCTCCGCCGCCCGGCTAATTACGACGCGTGATTCCATTACGGCCGCGGGATGGCCGTCACGGGATGGCCGGCCACATTTCTATCTATGTATACCTTGTAAATATGCTTATATGTATTTGTGGTAGAAGTGTCCAGTGTATTCGCGCGCTTATCACGTGACTTCAATCAACAAATTAAATTTCATTCATTCATTTCATCATTCATTTGATATACAGTAGTTGGATAATTCGATAATTCGAACGTCTTTAATTCGAATATTTATCTTGGTCCCTAGAATTTCCTACAAATAGAATTTCCGTTTTTAATTCGATTTTTTTTGGTCCCTTGGGCTTCGAATTATCCAAATTCGACTAAAAATAGATGACGCGTCATTGATTTATATTAATTAACGTTTTATTCATTAACCAATCAGCGTGCAGTGTCATTTAGCTCAGAAATTGCATTGAACATCAAAATTCTATATTAAATATAATATCGTAGGAGCGATTCTAGGAAGGGTTCTTTTGTGATTAAAATAATATTTTTATTTTGTCATTTTTTTTATGGTCAATTTACAAACAAATATTTAGTCATGAATTATTTTGATATTTTAGGTTTTTAATATATTCTATATATTATAGGAATCTATGACACTTGGTCTGCTTATTATGCAAAGGTACACTTTATCAGCCTGAGAATATTTCGCTTTAAAAAAATCTCTGTAGTACATTTTTAGGTTTAATTATTCTTAAAATGTCCCTTTACATGTGCTGTGCGACTGTGGGCTAATGCTCCAGTCATATATAAATATGTATATAATGGAGGGGGAAAAGATAAATACGCGCAATTCCCGTTTTAAAACTTGGCTGCATCGTACTCCGTGGACATTATCTCAAATGTCGACCTACATTTCTTATCAACGATACTTGTTAAGGTCGTTAATACTTTTGTAGATTAGTAAATACTTAACTGATTCAAAATATTGCTGAAAGATCGTGTATTCTAAAATCATAAACGATTTTACAAATTTAGAAATTTGAGATTTTTTGTATGACGAACTATTTTGATTACATTTTAAAGCAGTTTTTATTCAGCATGCCTATATAAAAAGGATACATTTTGTAAAATGAAATCAACGACACAGATACTTAAAAGTTATAATATTTATGATGATAATAAAGAATATTATGAAATAATAAAAAGGAGGAAGAAGTAAAGACGTTCCTGAGAAGAATAATCCCAACTCACCTACTTTATTCGTTGATTTAAATTATTTGTTGTTTAAGAGGAAGATGTGAAGAATATATGGAATGTAATATAGTGATGACAACCACAGACATCTTTGTTTTCTTATATCAGCGAATCAAGCGCGAAGTCAATAAAATGCTAAGGAGATGGAAAGTGTCTAATTATGTTTTAACTGCATCAAAGCTCTAGGTCAGACTTGTGTCCGGCCATCTCACATGTGTCAAGTTCATCAGGATAAATATATAGTCAAGTCTGAAATGGACAGGGCACGTCGGAAATCATTTGCTCCAGTGCATAGTCCTGCTCAGATATGCCAAGCTTACGTTGGAACATATGACACGCACTGTAAAAACTAGTTAATTTACATAATCGTTTGTATTAAATCGTCCGCAGACCACGTGGCAAAGAGAACCAATCGGGTGAGACTTTGCGAAAGCAAAGTATTGTATAAAAGGCACGGCGGGATGGCCGGTGCAGGGATTAGTAGAGTTAGTGGGGGATTAGTAAGATTCGTGTAAGAAGATTGCAGTGCCAGAGCCTAGGAGATAAAGAACTCGAGCTCAGAAGAGTTGATCATAAGTGCCTGAGCCTAGGATATAAATAACGCTAGCTCAGAAGAGTTGATCATAAGTGCCTGAGTCTAGGTAATAAAGAACTCTAGATCAGAAGAAAATAGGAAAAGGCAAGAGAATCTGATAAGAAGCCTGTGATAGAAACTGAGGAAAGTGAAAAAAGGCTAAAGTTAGCAAAAAAGATTGATTGGCAGAATAGCAGGATACTTGCTCCAACTGAAATAGATTAGTTTATTTTTATGCATCATTTATCATTGTAGAATAAAGCCTCATATGTTATATTCAGCAAATCTTTTCGCTCATTACCTCCGGAATATCACCTGCCTATCGCTACAGTAATTTCAATAGTTAGAAACAAAAATTATTTAAATTATTCATTTGTTTATTACTTAATTCTTTTTTCTACCTTTTTATTTATTCCCAACACGCACCATACACGCCACACACACTTCACACAAGCAATAAACGCACCATACACTACACACACTACACACACACACCGAGCGAGCGGCCACGTTATTTTTAGCGCAGCCGTTTTTCGCCTTTGGCGTGTGTCAAAATGCCAAAAAGTGTGTCAGATTTGGCACCGGCTGAAAGCCCTGGAAGAGCTGCTAGTGAGCCTGAAAGGCTCAGCTCGAAAACTCAAGCCAGTCCTGAAAAATCGG